ATTAATAATATTTTGAATTCCATAATAATCGGAGCTAGCTGCATCTTTCGATCCGAAGAAATGATTGATGTTGCGATTTTGGTCCTTGGGAGCTGAGAAGGTATTCTGCGTCCCACATTTTGCGGAATTGATCCCAGCCCTGTTCTCCAATACAAATTCTTCAGTACCTGCTACGCTGAAAGCTTGCTGATCACTGTCAGTGCAGTATAAGGATGATTAATATCAATACGCTTACCACCATAGTGAAATCCTTCGCAGTTAGCGCGTACCTGCCACCTATCGTGAAAAGCCTGCAGTTGTTGATGAAAGGGTGTGTTGCACGGGGTGCAGCAGCCGAACAATACGGGCGGATACGTCGTATCAAAGAAGGATCGATAACAGGTAGTCCTGTTTTGTTATTAAGGCTCAAGCTGGTCAGTTCTCATTCCTTTTTTTCTAATTTTTACAGTTATCACTTATTTTCTAAAATTCGAGAAATCAATTCCATAAACAAATTAATACATTCTTTTCACATAACCTCACAACCATCTTACTAGAGAAACCCTTTTGTAGTGCTGAATAAGAATGTACGCGGCTTAATGGACCGAGACATTCTTGTTCAGCTGTTCGTTCTTAAATACATATGTGTCTTAGTGGCCTGTTCGCGACTCCCAATTCGGGCAGTCACTGCTCTTTCATTTTCATTCTAACACTTCGAACTCTTAGACTCATCAGATATTAGAACTGACATAAAAGCATCCCTCCTTTCTGTAATTTGGTCAATATATTGACGGTGCCTTATCACAAGTTATTGCTTTCTATTTTCGCTTTGGAAATTATAACGGAAGCACCGTTTTTGCTGTTTTCCTGTCAACTTACATAACTTTTAAGTGTGCTAATTTTTTTCTCCGCTTCCTTTTACGTACCACCGTATATATTGCTTACTTCGTAGCATTTTAATCACCCTGCTCCTGTTATTTGCATTTTTTTTATTTGTGAAGTCTAGGCGATGAAAAATTGAGGTAAAAAAAGTGTTAGGTGTAGCAATTTCTTCAGGGCAATTTTGGGAAGAATTTTGATCTAGAGGGCAGTTTTGGAAGAGCAGTGATTAAAGTAAAATAACTGCCTAAATCCCTAGGGTTTTTGGAAGTGTATTTCATTTTAATTCAAAAGAAAGGTGGTTTAAGGAAGCTGGAATGCGGTCGTGCGGACAGACATCAGTCGCACAATGCAGTGTTTTAAAAATTTATGTTATTGAATGATTCTGTATGTTGGTGCATATGTTAGGTCGTTTGCTGTTCATTTTCATGATTTATGCATCTCTATGCACTTCTATGTGAACCAAAGAAGTGTTCTGGGCTTTTCAATTTCTTTCAGATATGTTTTTGTGTGTTTGTCCGGTTACTGAGTATCACCAAAACTAGGAAGCTAGAAAACTGAAATTCGAAAATTCGGTAAAATATGTCGGGCTTCTGCGGCGCTATCACAGTAACTGCCTTGTTCTGGAGCATCTTTTATCTGAGATCGAGGAATGAAGATTAAAGGTCAGGAATTCGAGTTTGGCGAATGATTTATGATTTGTTTAAAAAAACTGAAGTTCACTTCTCCAAATGATTCGGTGCCCTTCAGTTCAGTTTTCCGGATGTTTTGTTTCCCTTCAG